AAAAAAATGGGGGTTTTTAAAAAAAAATGGGGGTTTTGGGGGGGAAATTGGGGAAAAATGGGGGTTTGGGGGGAAAAATGGGGTTTTTTTTAAAAAAAAATGGGGTTTTTTTAAAAAAATGGGGTTTTTGGGGAAAAATGGGGTTTTTACGAAAAATGTGGGGGTTTTGGTAAGAAAAATGGGGGTTTTCGGAAAAAAAATGGGGTTTTCGGAAAAAAAAAGAGACTTAAAAAAAGGGGTTTTCGGGAAAAAATTGGGGTTTTGGTAAGAAAAATGGGGATTTTTACAAAAAAATCGGGTTTTTTTCTGAAAATGTGGGAGTGTTTTTAAAAAGTTGGGTGTTTTTCCCAAAGTATGGGGGTTTTTAAAAAAATACGGGAGTTTTTACAAAACAAATGGGGTTTTTTTGCAAAAAATATGGGGGTGTTGGTAGAAAAAATGTGGCTTTTAACAAAAAATATGGGTTTTTTCTTGAAAATATGGGGTTTTTACAACAAAAACGGAGTTTTTACAAAAAATATGGGAATTTTGGTAGAAAAAATGTTGGTTTTTTTTTTAAAGGGGTTTTTCCCAGAAAAGATGGGGGTGCTGGTAGAATAAATGGGGTTTTTAAAGAAAAATGGGGGTTTTTCCCCAAAAATATGGGGTGCTGGTGAGAAAATGGTTTTCAAAAAAATCTGGGTTTTTTTTAAAAAAAAATGTTTTGTTTTTTTTTTTAAAAATGGGGTTTTTACAATAAAATGGGTTTTTTTTCCTGAAAATATGGGGAGGTTTCCCAAAAAATATGGCGGTGTTGGTAGAAAAAATGTGGTTTTTTAAAAAAAAAATTGGGTTTTTTCCCAAAAAATATGAGGGATTGGTGACACAATGGAATTTTTTCTGTTAAATGGGGTTTTTCCCAAAAAAGATGGGGGTGCTGGTAGAAAAAATGGGGTTTTTGAAGAAAAATGGGGTTTTCCCCCAAAAATAGGGGGGTGCTGGTGAGAAAATGGGGGTTTTGGTACAAAAATGGCTTTTTAAAAAAAAATGGGGCTTTTTTTCCAAAAATAATGGGGGTGTCGGTGAGAAAATTGTCTCGTGCTCCCCCAGGGCCGGATTTTGGGTGGATTTTGGGGGATTTTGGGTGAATTTTGGTGGTTTCTGCAGGTTTAACATTTCTGTTGTCTCACAGCCCCTCGGGGCCGGATTTTGGGTGGATTTTGGGTGATTTTGGGTGAATTTTGGGGGTTTCAGCAGGTTTAACATTTCCATTTTCTCCCAACACCCTCACGGCTGGATTTTGGGGGATTTTGGGTGAATTTTGGGTGGATTTTCAGGGTTTTTGCAGGTTTATAATTTCTGTTGCTCACAGCCCCTCGGGGCCGGATTTTGGGGGATTTTGGGTGAATTTTGGGTGAATTTTGGGGGTTTCTGCAGGTTTAACATTTCCATTGTTTCGCACCCCCCTGGGGCCGGATTTTGGGGTGAATTTTGGGTGGATTTTGGGTGGATTTTGGGGTCTTTGACAGTTTATCATTACCATTTTCTCCCAGCACCCTCAGGGCCAGATTTTGGGTGAATTTTGGGTGATTTTGGGTGGATTTTGGGTGGATTTTCGGGGTTCCTGCAGCTTTACCATTTCCGTTGTCTCGCAGCCCCCTGGGGCCGGATTTCGGGGTGGATTTTGGGTGAATTTTGGGGTCTTTGACAGTTTATCATTTCCATTTTCTCCCAGCACCCTCAGGGCCAGATTTGGGGTGAATTTTGGGTGATTTTGGGTGGATTTTGGGCGGATTTTCAGGGTTCCAGCAGCTTTACCATTTCCATTGTTTCGCACCCCCCTGGGGCCGGATTTGGGGTGAATTTTGGGTGAATTTTGGGTGGATTTTCGGGGTTTCAGCAGCTTTAACATTTCCGTTGTCTCGCAGCCCCTCGGGGCTGGATTTTGGGGTGGATTTTGGGTGATTTTGGGTGGATTTTGGGCGGATTTTTGGGGTTTCAGCAGCTTTACCATTTCCGTTGTTTCGCACCCCTCTGGGGCCGGATTTTGGGGTGAATTTTGGGTGATTTTGGGTGGATTTTCGGGGTTTCAGCAGCTTTACCATTTCCATTGTTTCGCACCCCCCTGGGGCCGGATTTCGGGGTGGATTTTGGGTGATTTTGGGTGAATTTTGGGCGGATTTTCGGGGTTCCTGCAGCTTTACCATTTCCGTTGTTTCGCACCCCCCTGGGGCCGGATCTGGGGTGAATTTTGGGTGGATTCGGGGTGGATTTTGGGGCTCTCTGCAGCTTTAACGCTTCCCTTCTCCCCCAGCGCCCTCGGGAGCCGCGGAGCCGCCGGGCGGGGCAGGCAGAGAGGGCGGGGCCGCGCACAATGCGGCGAGGTCACAGTGCAGGAAGCAGCCAGGGACCTTTGTTGTTTTATTTTTGGGGGGTTCTGTGCCAAAAAAAAACCCAAAAAAAGCCAAAAAAAACCAAAAAAACAAAAAGCGGCGGGGACGGGGTTTTAAAACCGCCGCAGTTGTCGGGGCCCGGCGGACGGCGACGCTCGCGGCGAGTGTAGGTATGACCCTGAACCCCCCACGGGACACCTGGAACACCTGGAAACGGCTCAGAAACGCCCCAAAACTGCCCCAAAACCCCTCAGAGAGCTCAGAACCGCCCCAAAACCACCCAGAAACCCCTTAAAAAACCCCAGAAATGGCTCAGAACTGCCCCAAAACCACCCAGAAATCCCTTTAAAAACCCCAAAAATGGCTCAGAACCGCCCCAAAACCACCCAGAAATACCTGAAACGGTTCAGAACCGCGCCAAAACTGCCCCAAAACCCCTCAGAGAGCTCAGAACCGCCCCGAAACCATCCAGAAATACCTGAAATGGTTCAGAACTGCCCCAAAACCATCCAGAAATCCCTTAAAATCCCCAGAAATGG